GGGGAGGTGGTGTCCTCTCTTATAACCTGTAGCTCAGTGGTTATTGCACTCACCTGGACTGTCAGAGAGACAGGGTAAGTCCCTGCTCTGCCATTCTCTTGCATGCCAGGTGGGTGCCATAACCGCCAGGCTATTGGGTATTATGGGCTGGGACTCTCTAAATCTCTCCTGTTGGTCATAGAATCTGAAATGTAGGGCTGGAAGGGACCTTGAGAGGTCATCGCTGTCAGCTCCCTGTGCTGGGGTAGGACCAAGTAAGCCCAGATTGAACAAACACCTGTCAGAGACAATCTGTTCTTAAAACCCTCCAGTGATGGGATTCCACAATCTCCCTTGGAAGCCTGTTCCAGAGCTTAACTACTCTTAGAGTTAGGAAGTTTTTCCTAACATCTAACCTAACTCTCCTTCCATTGAGTCAACAATGTGATGCAGTTGTTGAAAAGGCTAATATTCTCTGGTATATTAACAGGAGTGTCAGACACAGGAGGTGATTGTCCTGTTCTAGTTGGCACCGGTGAGGCCTCAGCTGGAGTACCGCATCCAATTCTGGGTGCCACGCTTCAGGAAATAGGTGGACAAATTGGAAAGAGTCCAGACGAGAGCAACAAAAATGATAAAGGTTTAGAAAACCTGACCTATGTGGAAAGATTAAAAAAGCCGGGCCTGTTTAGTCTTGAGAAAAGATGACTGAAGGGGAACTGAAAACAGTTTTCAACTATGTTAAGGGCTGTTAGAAAGAGGAAGCCATCAGTTGTTCTCCATATTGACTGAAGGTAAGCCTATCTATTTCCTGAAGCGTGGCACCCAGAAGTGGATGCAGTACTCCAGCTGAGGCCTCACCAGTGCCAACTACAGCGGGACAATCACCTCCTGTGTCTGACACTCCTGTTAATACACTAGAGAATGATATTAGCCTTTTCAACAACTGCATCACATTGTTGACTCATTCATATGTGATCCAGTATATCCCTAGATCATCCTTTTGAGCAGTCCTACCACCTAGCCAGTTATTCTCCATTTTGTAGTTGTGCATTTGTATTTTTCCTTCTTAAGTACTTTGCACTTGTCTTTATTTAATTTTATCTTGTTGATTTCAGATCAAGTCTCTAATTTGTCAGTTGTTTGGAATTCTAAATCTGTCTTCAAAGTTCTCCCAGCTTTGTGTTATCTGCATATTTTATAAGCATATTCTCCACTCCATTATCCAAGTAATTAATGAAAATATTAAATAGTATTCAACCCAGGACTGGCCCCTGTAGGACCCCACTAGATACACCCTCTTAGTTTGACAGTGAACCACTGATAATTGCTCTTTCACCAGTTGCACACTCATAGTAATATTGTTAATAAACCCGTACTTCCTCGATAGGAACATTTAGAAACGGCGGCATTTCTAAAGCTTCCCTTTCACCCGAGTCTTCTTTTGGAATCACCTTTTGTGGCAGCCTAGACGACACTGGCATTCACATTAATTCTGTGCAGTCGGTTGTTCTGATAGTGAAGTTATAATTTGCCAGACAGGAAGCCCATGGTTGCTCCAATGCCCCTAGTTTGCGGTTTGCAAATATGTCAATGGGGTGTTATCTGCAAAGACTGCAAATGAGGCTGCGTAAGATAATGCTGAAACTTTTCTGTTACTGCCCAGATGAACGCTAGGAATTCCAATTGGAACAAATTGTATTTCCTGTTCTTTTTTTTTCAGATCTCTTTAAGCCCTTTAATTTGTTCCAATTGGAATTCCTTGCATAAGCAGTAACTCACTCCCTGCCATCTTGCTCCTAAGCAAGAATAGCTCCCAATCCTTTGTTGCTGGCATCAATGTACACTCTAAAGGGCAGTTCATAATCTGGATATACCAGGATAGGTGGTTGCACTAGGGGAGATTTCAGTTCTTCAAATGCTGCACTGTGCACTCCATTTTACCGGGGCAGCTTTAGAAATGTTCTTACCTCCGGTGTTTCTCTTAGCAGTTCATTCAATGGCAGAGCAACTTTAGCAAAGTGCTTAAGAAATCAACGGTGATAACTGACAAATCCCAAGAACGTCTTGTACTGTAGCAGCAGGTATTGGCCACTCCTCTACCACTTTCAGTTTCTCTGGATCAGTAGCCACCATATGTCCCAGGTAGGTCAAATACCACATGCAAGTATTGCAAATGTTTCTCAAAGGATTTTGAATATCTAGTGATGTCGTCTAGATACAGTAAAACAGTATCAGGGTTCTCAGAGCCCAGGCAACGCTCTACCAATCTCTGAAATGTCCCTGGAGCATTACATAACCCAATGACATTCTTGTAAATTCATAAAGTACCACGGGTGTTACAAAGGCAGTTTTTGTCTTCTGGCACCATGGGAATTGGCCAGTACACTTGCTACATCGATAGTAGGGAAGAAACTTGCTGACATTAATGCCAGTAAGGAATCATCAGTTCTAGGTAAGGGATAGGCATTTTATGGGTGACTTGGTTCACTTTTCAGGAATCTACACAAAAGTGCAGTTTCCTGTCTCTTGTCTTAACCAGCACAGTGGGCACAGCCCATAGACCGTGACCCTCTTTTGTTACATTAGCTTCCAACACCTCTTTTATCCTTTCCTACAGCAGCTGACCCAAAGCAGGAGCAATTGCTAACTGGAGGATGTACTGTGGTGGGTGTGGTGTCCAGTATCTGGGTGGCACACCTGAAATCCACGGGATGTTGTGAGAAAGCTTTTTCATGTTTCTTAATCAACTGTACTACTCTGCAGATGCTGAAGGCATTCCCAAGTCTATTTTCTTGGTCCAGGCTTATGGGTCTATCCCACCATCCTGGATCACTGTCTGCAGGTGTCCCACTTCCCCAATCTGTTCCTCAGGCACCAAGGTGTCATCCCAACCTATGCACATCAGAGGCCTGGCCACATCCCAGGCAAATGCCTTAATCCCCGCACTATTGGGCATAATCAATAGCAGATCGGGTAGTTAGGTGTCTAAATCCTGTTGTGGAGCTAACCCTGGGAATATAACATCACCCTTCCCTAACACCACCTGCCATTGTCTATGCCAATCACCCTTCTGGTTCATCTCCTGCAATGGATCACTGCTGGGCCCCTGTGCAGCACCGCTGATCCAGGGAGTGCGTGTTGCTGCGGCTGGACAGCAGGGGAAATGCACTGTGATCAGCCTGAGGGACTGTGTGGTGCTCAAAGGGGGCACGCGGCTATGACACCTTAACTGTACGTTGCCTGGTTTGCTGATGTCTGTGTTTTGTTTGCTCTTGGAACGCTCACTTTTATCTTTGGGGGTCTTTCTTCTGCATGCCCTGGTTTGCCAGCCTTTGAGAGGAGTAATAAACTGTCCTGCTGTGGGAGGAGCACAGGGCAGTGCTGAGTGCCAGTTACCTCCCCTCCCTGGGGACAAAGTGATCTGTAAGTGAATGTGTAACCACTGTTAAACTGACCCTTAACTTACTGCAGATGTAGGGTGACCAGAGAGCAAGGGTGAAAAATTGGGACACTGTTTTCAGGGTAGGGGGTATAGGTGCCTATATAAGACAAGGCCCCTAATACTGGGACGCCTGGTCACCCTATGTATATGTGCACCTGGGGTGAGTGTTGGTGCAGGGTCCAGCTTTCAGAAATGCCTAACGGTTGCCCTGAAATTCCCAGTCCCGCAGTTGTGTTACCACCCAGGGATGGGAGCACCAGCACGTTTATTGCCCTGAAATGGCCTTTGGGGACCTCGCAGAGGGGAAGGCTCCTGTTCCATATTCTCATTTCTCACCTGTAGCTGCCAACAGCTTCCTGCCATCCCTGCGTGCTGTGAATCCCCCATAGAAATAAAGGCCTGGCCGGGACGAGGGAAGCCGGGAACAGCCAGCTCCACTGGCACGTCCCCTCACCCCCTTCGAAGGCATAGTCATCGCCACCACTTGGAGCTGAGGGATTCGGATGAAGCAGGACATCCACTATCCTTCTGTTACATGCAACAAAGCCAGCTGGCTAAATGCGTGTCCCGGCCTCAGGCGTTCCCTGGAGCGAGGGACTCTCAGGACGGCACTCGTGGGGAGCAGAACTACAGAACTGGCTGCACCGTGGCTTCTGGGTGCGTGGCTCTTGCCTGCACATTTTGGAGCTCTCTGCTCTACATTTAGGCCAATGTTTTAAAGCCTAAAGTTACACACCTGACACCATATTGGAGGTAAACTGGCCAGGGACACACCCAAGGCTGCTGTGACTGACCCTGAGATCGTGGGAAGGGAAAACCTGAGCCTGACGCATCTCGGGGTGCATGCAAGGAGCTGTTGTGTCTCTGTATTGCTTCTGAACTCCTCCTGCAGCCTTGGCAGCAGGCCTAGCTCATTTGCGGTCTTTCCTTCCCCTGGCTCCTCCATGCCCTTCCAACAGCTTGAATGTGACGCCATCCAGCGGCAGGGGCGGGGGTATGAGAACACAGAGACAAAGCAAACGCGATTGCCCTGCTTAAGCCCTCAGATAATTGCTGAAGTCATTTCGCCCATCGTCAAGGTGTTCCGATAGCTTGGTATTTAAGCTGCCTGTTGGAAAAGAACGCTCGCTTATCTCTGCGTGTAACGCTCCCTGGGATCGAAAAGCTCAGGAACTTAGCAGCCCAAATATGAAGCAGCATGTTTTCCATGTGAGCTCAAGTCCTGGGACGAAGGCACTTAGCAGAAATGGCATTTACGAAAACAGAGAGAATATTTTCCTTTTCTTCTTGCTGTATCACGGTGTGCCAGGCCCCCCCAGTTCAGATAACCTTGTTTCCTGAGCAGGCTGGCTTTGCTCTCTGACAGACACATTTACACTGCTTATCGGGGCTTTGGCTTTAACCCCGCCTTCCTGCCCCATATAAACAGAAGGGGGAAAGACGGGAGTTTCAGTTCTTCATCCAGGTGCCCCAAGAACTGAAGACCATCGCAGAATTAACTCTCTTGAAAAGCAGGCTCTCAATGGATTGGGCAAGTCCACTTGCTCTTCACCCTATAGCTTTCTACCAGCTGGTTGCATTTCCATTTGCCGTTTCCTTTCACTATCTCTGCACCTCTGGGTCTCTCTCGCTAAATGCCAGGTATGCGTTCATGTTTGCTTTAATTCCATGCTCATGACCTTTGGTGGTGTATTCTAGGCTAAGTGCAGGTTTCACAGGTGAGGCAATTTTGCTAACCTCTTTCCTAGGGAAGGGGAATGGGCACAGCAAGGGTCTGGGAATCAAAACTCTCTGTATCTACTCATGATTGACCTTATCACAACCTCTGTGTGCCTCAGTTTCACCCCATGTAATTAACGTTTGTCAAGTATTTTGAGATACAGCCCTGGAGAATCACAAAGTATCATTAAAGGCCTAAAGACCTGCAAGCTACAGCAGATCCGCCTTGAAGATGCAGAGATTATATGAATCCAAATCACAAGTCATGTTCCAAGGAATCAGTGAAGAACTTGTGACCCTCAAGTGGGATTTTCAAAGGCACCTAAGTGACTCAGAAGCACAAGTCTCCCTGATGTGCAGAGGGACTAGTGTTCCTGTTAGGTGATTTATAAAACCTCACCTCTGCAGTTGGGCATGAAGGCAGCAGTCACGGGTTATAATCTGAGGAAAGAGTGGGGAGAGGAAATCAATGCACCAAGTTCACTCAGGTCTTCCGGAGTTAACGGGACTTGCAGGTCAGTCAAGTGATACAGTAACTCCTCGCTTAACGTTGTTCCTGAAAAATGTGACTTTAAGCGAAACGATGTTAAGCGAATCTAATTTCCCCATAAGAATTAATGTAAAGTGGGGGGGGGTTAGCTTCCAGGGAAATGTTTTTCACCAGACAAAAAACTATATATTATATAGATATACACAAAGTATACATTTTAAACAAACAATTTAATACTGTTCACAGCTATGACGATTGTGAAGCTTGGTTGAGGTGGTGAAGTCAGAGGGTGGAAGAGGGAGGGATATTTCCCAGGGAATGCCTTGCTGCTAAATGATGAACTAGCATTTGGCTGAGCCCTCAACGGTTAACACATTGTTGTTAATGTAGCCTCTCACACAAGGCAGCACAAACACAGAGGGGAGACAGCATAGCAGACAGAGACAGACACACACCAGAGATGCACACTGCCTCTAAGTAAGCTGACCCACTCTTAAGTGCATTGTCTTTTTAAGTGGATCAGGAAGTTGAGACAGCAGCTGCTGCCCCAAGCTCTCTCTGTCTCTCTCCTTCCGTGTCCCCTCCCTGCTCTATATGGAGAAGGGATAAGCGGGGTGCAGGAGCAGGGGGGAGGGGGACACCTTAACATTAGCCACCCCCTTCCTCCCCTGCACAGCAAGCTGGAGTCTCGGGGAGAAGCTCCAAGGCAGAGGGCAGCACATGGCAGTGGGGGGAGGGACAGCTGAACTGCCGGCAATTGGTAGCCTGCTGGGTGGCTGCAGCACAGGGGAGCTGGTAGGGGGAGCTGATGGGGGGCTGCCGGTCTACCCTGGTTCCAAGCCCCCACCAGCGAGCTGCAACGGGCTGCTCTTCCTGCAAGCAGTGGACAAGGCAGGCAGCTGCCAAACGACGTTAGAAGGGAGCATTGCACAACTTTAAACGAGCTTGTTCCCTAATAGATCAGCAACGTAACAATGTTAACCGGGACGACTTTAAGTGAGGAATTACTGTACAATGAACCAAACAGAAAGCCAGCCGCTGGATTCAATGCACAAGCCTACATTTTCAGAGATGCCAAGCACCCCCTCTCCCACCAGCATGTGAGGGCACTGCAGGTCAACAGCACTTTTAGAAATCAAGTCACTTTGAGTTGGATGCCCAGGTTGGACAGTTTGGGCCAAAGCCTCCCCTGAGGATTTGCCAGCCTGGAGAACACATACAAGGTTCAAATCAGAGCAAGGACTTCACCGGAGCCCTTTCTGTGTGTCTACCATGGACTACAGTCCTCTGGAATCTGCCTGGCTGGCTAGCAGGGCAAACTCACAAGTGGCACCTGTCTCATTGGGAGGTTAGAATGTGGCATCCTCCACCCTGTCAGTCACAGCAGCGATCAGGTTAGATGCATATCTAGGCTGCACAGGTACCCGGCCTCTAAAGGGTGGAGGGACAGGAAAAGATGGGCAGCTAACACAGAGAAAAGCGTAAGAGGATGCTGGTGGTAGGTGAGTCCCTGGAGTTCAGAGAGCTGGCAATGCTCAGTGCCTTCGTGCTTGTGACGATCAGCAGCATGGTGCTCTGTTAGGGTTAGGAAACTACCCAGGGAGGCACAGCTTCAAGTGCCCTGATGGTTTCCCTCTGCCCCTGGGTGAGTGCCAAGCTCTGTCAGGAAGAGCGGAGCTCAGCAGCGTGGGGAATGTCTCGCCTGCTGCCCAGGAGACATTGTCGGGTTCAGAGAAGAGTGTGTGGCCAAGACGGGTGATGTCAAACACAGCCGCACTGGCGTGGGGAACTAAGCCTCCATTGGCCCAGGGACGATGTTGTGGCAGGGCTGGCTAAAGAGCGGGGCTACGCTGGTGAGTTTGTGACGATTTAGAGACAAAATGTACTTAACCCTGAGAATCACCAGCTATTACTGGCATTGAAGAGCCTCCAAGGAGGGAACCCAGCAGGGCTTGGGTGGAGGCAGGGGAGAGGGCCTGGAGAAAACGCAGCGCTTGGCCAGGTCTGCTTTGGGGTTGGTGGAGGGATGAGTCTGGAAATGAAGCAAGAGGAAGGCAGTGCCATGAGATGTCTGGTCCTCAGGGACCCTTTGTTAGACCACGGAAGCGGCACTGACGAGGGAGGAGGGAGGGCAGTGGGAGGGGCAATCCGTACAAAGGCAAGAAGCTACAAGGGACGGCAAAGCCAGCCCAGGAGAGAATCGAGAGCCCCACCTCACCCGCAGGCTGTCTTAGTGCTGGGCAACGCCAAACCCACTGAACCTCCGCGGCCTCAGAAAGCCTTTGCAAACATTTCTGATTTCTTCTAGGTATGCCTTGCTCCTAGTGGGAGGCTGCCTTCTCGCGTGTGCTGCCATGGGATGGTACGCCCTGCTGCTCTTCATCCCCACCTTCTGCTCCGTGGCCATTTTCCACTCAGTCGGCCCACTGCAGGTCCACACATGGGCATTCGTGCTCCAGATGTCCTGGCAGACTCTCTGCCACCTGGGCCTGCACTATAGAGAACATTATCTGCAAGGAGCCCCGTGCATCAGGTATCAGGCAGCAATGCACAAGCCCATCTGTTTCCTCAAATGACACAGCCTGGGCCAGATTTTGCATCAAGACTTGTCCAGATTTTTCTGGGCATAACCGAGAGCAGAATCTGCATGATTCCTAGAGGCAGTCATACTCCCCTGAGGACAGTCCGTGTCCCTTAACACCATGCCCTCTCTTCTCACATGAAATGCTATAGCAGGCTGTCTCGGTATTTCACAAAGCTTGTCTTCAGCATTCTAGGGAGAAGATTTCCCCCACCGTTTAACAGCCTGGTTCTTGCCTTTTCTGTCTCATGCTCAGCACCTTCCAGAGTCATTAAGGGCTAAAATCAGGTGGCCCCAACTTTTCCATATACCAGATGTGAAATGTTCATGACCTTTCCAGCATTTGCTCGCCAGGCCGGGCGCTCAGCGTCCCCCCAGGGCAGCACTGGAATCACTTCTCGTCCATCAGGATGTCAGTCTGCTCCCAGCCCTGTCCTGACTCAGCTGTCCCACTTGGGCATCCCACGCTCTGACTGCGCACTGGGTCCGGCCGGCTCCTCCTGGCGAGATGCAGGGACGGTGCCAGGCACGTTCAGGGGAACAGACGGAAGCAGAGCAGGCCCACTGCAAATAACCAGGCAGTCACTAAGCATGCTGAGGCTTCAAGGTCCGGGTGTGTGGCGTGGGTATTGAGGTTGGTGCCACATGGCTCGCGGAGTCCATTGGTTTTTGCAGACATGCAACAGGGTTGGCTCAGCCATCCGTACAGCTGCGTAAGGCAGGAAAATGGGAGGGGCAGGGCAGTGGTTAGTGGCTGCGTATTAAGTCGTGTTTGCAGCACAGAGAGGGAGGCCGAGGCAGAGCTCCGCCCGCTATGACCTGATGTTTATACAGGCCGGGTCCAGCCCCATGCAGCCAGAACGCGCCTCAATCCACGCCAGCGCAGAAGGGGCTGAGGCTGCAGCTGCCCCCTGGCAGTAGCGGAGCTGGAACGGAACCATGTTCTGGCACTTTTGCAAGGTCATGCCGCGTGGAGGAGGCCATGTCGCTCGCGGGCGCCCTCCGCACAGCGTGACCTCGCACGCAGCACCGCTACGAGTCCATTCAGGGCGACACCAGCCCTGGCGTGCACTACGGGACCCCGCTCACCGCCACTCCGCTTGCTCTCTCCCCCCGCTTGCAGGTTGACAATCGCCCTCTCGTCGCTCATGCTGCAGACGCAGAAGGTCACATCGCTGGCTCTGGATATCCACAAAGGGAAGGTGACTATGGCAGCTGAGTGGGGGGATGGGAGGGAGTCACTGCTGCGGGCGCTGCCTCTATGCAGTTACCTGCTCTTTTTCCCTGCCCTGCTGGGAGGCCCGCTATGCTCCTTTCGGAGATTTCAGGACCAGATCCAGGGCTCATGCGCTTCACGCCCCACACCTCCCTGGAAGGCTGCAGGCCAGAAATGCCTCCGTGCCCTGGCTCTGCACCTGCTGAGAACGGCTGTGAGGAGCTGCGTGGCCCCGCTGGCCCGCATGACGGACTGCACCGGCTTTGGCTGCGTGTTCGTCATGTGGCGTTCCGCCTTGCTCTTCAAACTGGCTTATTACTCCCAGTGGGTGCTCGACGAGGCTCTCCTCAGCGCAGCGGGCTTTGGGCTGGAGCTTGGCCATGCCCCCGGTGCAGAGGCTGGCTGCGGTGACCTCTCTGATGCAGACATATGGACCTTGGAGACCACCAACAGAATAGCCCTCTTCACCAGGACCTGGAACAAGAGCACTTCCCGGTGGCTGAGGAGACTCGTCTTCCAGCGCAGCCCGGCCCAGCCCCTCTTGGCCACCTTTGCCTTCTCGGCCTGGTGGCACGGGCTCCACCCAGGGCAAGTGTTTGGCTTCTTGTGCTGGGCAGCGATGGTGGAGGCCGATTACCGGATTCACCCTTTTCTCCGTTCACTTGCCAAGTCCTGGCACACCAAGGTGCTATATCAGGCCCTGACCTGGGTCCAGACCCAGATGATCATTGCGTACATCACGGTTGCGGTGGAGATGAGGAGCTTCTCTGCGCTCTGGCTGCTGGGCGCCTCCTACAACAGCTTCTTCCCTCTCCTGTACGGTGTTTCACTGCTGTGGCTGGTCGCGAGAGCCAAAGAAAAATGTGTCTGACCCACACTATTCTCCCTCCCACACACACACTATTCACCAGGAGCCATAGAGCGTAGGAGAGATGGAGATTGCCCCCTTGGTAGGGAGAGGTTTTCTCTAGGTCTAGGTATGCCCCTAGTCCCCCTAAACCCATCATCTCATCACATAAGATAGACTCTCACATTCTAAGGCCAGGAGGGACCATTAGATCACCCAGTCTGACCTGCTCCATAGCACACACCAGAGAACCTCACCCAGTGATTCCTGCATCCGGCAAATAACCCAGGGTTGGATCAGAGGGTATCTTTTAGAAGAAGACATCCTGTCTTGCTTAAAGGGTCCAAGTGATGAAGAATTTAGCATAGAATCATAGAATCGCAGGGTTGGAAGGGACCTCAGGAGGTCATCTAGTCCAACCCCCTGCTCAAAGCAGGACCAATCCCCAACTAAATCAAAACATGTCCCTAGGTAATCTGTGACGTTGATCAGACACCCTGACAGTTAGATATTTGCATCTTATTTCCATTTTGAACTTTGTTGTCTTCACCTTCCAGCCATTGGCCCTTGCTAGAGGGGACAGATGGGGATTGGGGGAGGAGTGTCCATATTGTCCTTTCATTTGAACCAGTCCTCATATGGCAAGATTCAGTTTCATTTATGTGAGTGGAGCAGGTCTGCTAAATAGTTCGTGAAGAATGAAGTACCCCCAGGCCCGGGGTGTCTGAGCAAGGGGGCGTTATTAGCAGATAGGCCTCCCAAAAAAGACCCACTGATAACTTTGGGCACATCTACACTGCAAAAAATCACCCATGGCAGCGAGCCTCAGAAGCCAGGTCTCCAGACTCAGGTTCACGGGGCTTGCGCTGTGGTGCTAAAAATAGCAGTGTAGCTGTTTCTGCTTGGGCTGGTGCCCGGGCTCTGAAACCAGGCAAAAGGGGTGGGTCTCAGACCCCGAGCTCCAGCCTGCGTGGGAACAACTACACAGTTATCTTTGCCACTGTAGCCTGATGCTGAGTCTGTATCTCCTGGCTCTGAGACTTATGCTGCTGTTGGGCTTTTCTTGCAGCACAGACATGTCC